GTCAGGCACAGTCACACCAGTGAGGTGTCACCTCAGGGAGCAGAAATGCCCCCCAGAAATGCCCCACTGGGCACTGTCTGGGGGGCACTGCGGGGGACACTGGGTGGCCTCCCGGTGCCCACGGGCAGCTCTGGCACACAGCAGGGCCAGGCAAGGAGCCACTGGCTCTGCAGTGGCCGTGGCAAAGGCAGCCAAGGTGACTGGGGGGACACGGGATGCCCCCCACGCCCGGGGGGGGGACACACTCTGCACCCCGTGTGTCATCACACTGCTGGGCGTGGGCTCTGCCTCTGCCCCCCAGCCGGGTTAGTGGGCACCACAGAGCTTGAAGAGATGGGGTCCAGCCTGCCCAGATGTGCTCCTGGGCTCCCAGATGTGCACCTTGGCTCCCAGATGTGCCCAGGGGGAGGGGCAGTGCCATGGACAAGCCGGGTGCTGTGGGCCCTGACAGCTCTACCAGGGGCTGAGGCTGAGGTCAGCGGGAGGGAAAGTGCTGGGAAGTTATTTGGGTGCCGGAAATAAGTTCCTGGGAGAGGCTTAGTGCTAAAGGAGATTGGGAGTCTCCTCGTTAGAGGGAATAAGGGCTCTGGCAGGGAGGAAACAGCAGCACTGAGAAACCCCTTAATCCTCTGGGGAGGGGAGGGGAGGCAGCAGCAGCATCGTCCCTGCACCCACCCGGCCCCCTCCCTGCATCCAGGGGACACTCAGCATCCCAGGGAGCAATTGGGGCCAAGAGCTGGGTTTGGAGGAGAAGGGTGAGGGGCCTGGAGCACCCCAGTGATCCCAGACCAGCTGCTCCGGAAGCCCTGGCAGGGAATGGCACAGGATGGAGTCAGGGGGCTGCCCTTGGGGGTCTCACCCCCCAGCAGAACACCCGGCCAGGAACCCCCACCCGAAGGTGTTGGGGACAGGAGGAGGAGGGATCCCGGGGACTGGGGTCAGGGGGTGGATGGGGCACCCATGGGAGGCTGTGCCCCCGCGGTGCTGAGCGGCTGCAGGGCTCTCATGGGGTGGGAGAAGCTGGTGCTACAGTTGTGGGGTGTCCCGTGGGTGTAGGAGGGCTGCCTGCACGCCCCCAGAACCCCACAGTGTGCCCCCCCTGCAGCCAGGAAGGGGAAAAATGGGGGGGAAACAGGGGAAATAGAGTCTGGCCCCACATGGCTGTTGGTGGGAATGGGGGTCACTGGTTTGCTGGTGCTGGGGCACAGCCAGGGGACGTGGCATGGGACCCCCATGGAGAGCCCTGTGTGGGGACATGTGACAGCAGCATGAATGTGTCCCCCGAGTCCTGGCACCCCTTGGGCTGGGGTGGTGGCCCTGCTGCTCCTCAGGGCCGTGGCTGTGGCAGTGATGGGGGTCCTGGGAGTCCGGGCACCGTGAGGAGCAGGGACCCTTGATCTGGGGGGGTCCAGAAGGACCCTGTGGGCAGACACCAGTGGGTGAGAGAGGCCACGTGCTGGTGACAGGAACACCGTGGGGATGGTGGCAGAGGGCACACCCCGGGGATGGTGGCTGTGCTGGCTCTGTGTCTGGCAGGTTGATTTGAAAGCTGTGTGTGGTGTCGTGGGGACATCAGGGTCTGTCCCTGCTGACACCCCAGAGCCCAGCCATGGGGACCACGGACACCCTGGCACGGGAGCGGGGCTGCAGGGCTGGCACACGGCTGCACACCCGGCTGGCACGAGCACTCACACACGGGCACACACGGGGTGCTCCCCTCCTGCACGGCTCTGCCACACCCGGGGCTCCCACACGCACCAACACGCGTGTGTGAGTGTGTGAGCGTGTGCACCCCGGCACGGCGTGTGCACGTGTGTGTGTGTGTGTGTGTGTGAGTGCGCGCACAGACTGTGTGTTTGTGTGTCTGTGTCTGTGTGTCTGTGTGTCTGTGTGTCTGTGTGTGTGCACAAGCTGTGTGTGTGTATTTGTGTGTGTGTCTGTGTGTGTGTACAAGCTGTGTGTGTGTTTGTGTGTGTGTCTGTGTGTGTATTTGTGTCTGTGTGTATTTGTGTCTGTGTCTGTGTGTCTGTGTGTCTGTGTGTGTGTGTGCACAAGCTGTGTGTGTGTGTCTGTATCTGTGTGTTTGTGTGTGTCTGTGTGTCTGTGTGTGTCTGTGTGTGTGTCTGTGTGTCTGTATGTCTGTGTGTGTGTCTGTGTGTTTGTGTGTCTGTCTGTGCACAAGCTGTCTCTGTGTGTGTGTTGTGTGTCTGTGTGTCCATGTCTGTGTGTCCGTGTCTGTGTTTGTGTGTCTGTGTGTGTGTCTGTGTTTGTGTCTGTGTGTGTCCGTGTGTTTGTGTGTGTGTGTGTGCGTCTGTACGTGTCTCTGTGTGTGTGTTTGTGTGCCTGTGTGTGTGCACAAGCTGTCTCTGTGTGTCTGTGTGTTTGTATGTATGTGTGTCTCTGTGTGTGTGTCTCTGTGTGTCTGTGTGTGTGTGTGTCTCTGGGTGTACGTCTGGGTGTGTCTGTGTGTCTGTGTGTCTGTGTGTCACAGCTGGTGGAAGGAGGGGGTGGAGGCCGGGCCCCGCTGCCGGAGCTGCTGCCCATCCATGGAATCCCGTGGGTTGGCAGCTGTGTGGAAGGAAGTGAGACTGGGGTGGGCCGGGCTGGGATCCAGCGGAGGGGTCACGTCACCCACACCCCCAGAACCCCCCAGCCCTGCCCATGGAGCCGAACCAGCCCCGGGCTGGTGGGTGTCTGTAGGATCATGGAATTATTTAGGTGGGAAAACCCCTCCGAGACCGTGGAGTCCAACCATCCCCCAGCACACCAAGGCCACCACTGACCCGAGCGCCACATCCACGCTCCCTTTAAATCCCTCCAGGGGTGGGGACTCCCCCCTGCCCTGGGCAGCTGTGCCAGGGCCGGACATTCCATGGAGGAATTGTTCCCAATATCCAATCTAATCGTGCACAGCCCCTTCCCCATCAGCTGGGCCACACGAAGACCTCCAGCCTTTCCAAGAGCAGGGATGAGGACAGGGACCAGGCATGGGAGTGACCTCCCGGTGAGCGTGGCCGGGGGCAAACCCTGCGGGGTGGGGAGGGTGACAACACGCTCTGCCCCCCCTCTCTGCCCCCTCCCCAGGCGATGGAGAGCAAGCTGCTCATCGGGGGCAGGACCATCGTGGACCACACCAACGAGCAGCAGAAGATGCTGGAGCTGCGGCGGCAGGAGATCGCCGAGCAGGTACCGGCTGGGGGGTGACAGGGGTCACTCGGGGGTGACAGGGGTCACTCAGGGGTGACAGGGGTCACTCGGGGGTCAGGGGGGCCAGGAGGGGTGTCCCCTCCCGGCTCCGACCGCGTCCCCTGTGCCGCAGAAACGCCGGGAGCGGGAGATGCAGCAGGAGGTGCTGCTGAGGGACGAGGAGACCATGGAGCTGCGGGAGACCTTCACCTCCCTGCAGCAGGAGGTGGAGATCAAAACCAAGAAGCTGAAGAAGGTGAGAGTGTGGCGGGCGGGGACGGGGACAAGGACAAGGACGTCCCTCCCCAGGGCTCGCCGCAGCCCTGAGTGTGGGGCTGAGGGTGCTGAGGGTGCTGTGGGTGCTGTGTCCCCCCCAGCTCTATGCCAAGCTGCAGGCCGTGAAGGCCGAGATCCAGGACCAGCACGACGAGTACATCCGAGTGCGCCAGGACCTGGAGGAGGCCCAGAACGAGCAGACCAGGGAGCTGAAGCTCAAGTAGGTGGTTGTGAGGTGGTTGTGGGGCACCACCTGAGCCCGGGGTGTGCCGGGCTGAAGTGGGGTGTGCCAGGCAGAATTGGGGTGTGCTGGGCTGAAGTGGGGTGTGCCAGGCAGAATTGGGGTGTGCAGGACAGAGCTGGGGTGTGCCAGGCAGAATTGGGGTGTGCAGGGAAGATCTGGGTGCACAAAGCAGAGCTGGGGGGCACAGGCCAGGCCTGGGGTTCTCAGAGCAGAGTTAGGATGCACAGAGCATAGCTGGGGTGTGCTGGGCAGAATTGGGGTGTGCAGGACAGAGCTGGGGTGTGCTGGACAGAATCAGGGTGTGCTGGGCAGAACTGGAGTGCTCAGGGCAGAGATGGGGTTTCCAGTGCAGAGTTGGGGTTTCCAGTGCAGAGTTGGGGTGCTCACAGCAGGGCTGGGGGGCTCAGAGCAGGGCTGGGGGGCTCAGGTCAGAGTTGGGGTGCTCACAGCAGATCTGGGGTGCTCAAATCAGAGTTGGGGTGCTCACAGCAGGGCTGGGGGGCTCAGATCAGAGTTGGGGTGCTCACAGCAGGGCTGGGGGGCTCAGGGTGGGTGCAGAGCTGGAGGGAGCAATCCCCCACTGACAGGGGCAGCTGAGCCCTTCCCACCTTTGCTGGCTGTAGCAGAAGGTGTTGGAACCCTGAGCGCTGGGCCAGCAGCACTCGGGGTGTCCCAAAGTTGCTGAGAAAGGGGAAAAGCAGAAAATATTCCAGCAGAAACATTCCAGCAGAAACTCCAGCGCAGCAGCGGCACCGGCTGGGGGTGAACCCGGGGGGTGGCAGAGGTGACTGAGGGGGGGCTGAGGGTGTCTGGAGACCTGCTGTGGCCCCAGTGCCATCCTGGGAGGGCGAGTGGCTCCGGGGGGACTCGGGGTGAGCCCGGCCCTGTGGGAGCTCCCGGGGCAGCGGCCCAGCCAGGCAGCGTTTGCCTTCCGGGAGCCTCCCACAGCAGCAGCTGCTGCTCCACCGCCCCCGGGGGTTTGTTCTCACTTCAAACACTCGTCTCTTTCAGTGCTTTAACCCCCCCAGACATTTACAAGCACTCCAGCGTTTTCAGGGGAAAACAGTTTTACTAGAAACAGAATTCCATCTCCGATTTTCCCCTTTTCCCTCCCAACCCGCGGCTGTGGAGAAGCTGCATTTGGGAGAAGCACCTCCTCGACTGGGAACAGTTTTTGGCAGCTGCTCGATTTGCCCCAAAAAACATGGGAAAAAAGATTCCCTTCGGGGTCCATTTGGAATCGTTGAGCTGCCCTTGATTTTGGGGTCAGGCAGCCAGCAGAGCAGACGGGAGGAGAGGAGGGGGGTGCTCCTGATCCTGCCTGGAGCCCCAGAGCTCCCAGGAGTCCTGGCTCTTCTCTGATGACTGTCACCCTTCCTCTCCTGCCTCTCCCCTCTCCGTGGCTGCATCTATTCCTTCAACCTCTCCACTCCCATCCCATTTTCATCCTCTGGATGTTTCCTCTCGCTGCTGCGCTGTCTCCCTCTCTTCCTGCCATCCCTTTCCTCTCCCTTTCCGAGCTGTTTTCTGTCTCCTGTCACATTAACTCCTTCCTCTCCTCCTCCTCCTTTCCCCCGTCCCTCCCTCTCGTCCCTCTCATCCGGTCCCTGGCTCAGGTACTTGATCATCGAGAACTTCATCCCTCCCGAGGAGAAGAACAAGATCATGAACCGCCTCTACTTCGACGGCGACGAGGACCAGTGGAAGTTCCAGCCTCTGGTGCCCACCGGAGGGTACGTCCCTGGCCCAGCCCTGGCCCAGTGGGCACCCATGTCCCCAGGGCTGGGGGCCATGTGTGGAAATCCCCTCCCAGCCAAGCCCCAGCGGGAAGGGCCACGAGCCCCCTCGGTCCCCGCCGGGACAGGGCTGCGGTCGGTTCGTGTTCCCTGACGCGGGTTCTCCCTCTGTCCCTGCTCCAGGAACAGCTCCCAGATGAAGAGGCGCCCGACCTCCGCCGTGGGCTACAAGAGACCCATCAGCCAGTACGCCCGGGTGGCCATGGCCATGAGATCCCACCCCCGCTTCCGGGTGTGTGACGGGGCACTGGGGTGGGCCAGGGGGCACGGGGTCCACGGATAGATGGGATGGGTGGGTGGGTGGATGAGTGGATGGATGGATATGGAGGTGGGTGGGTGGGTTGAGGTGGGCTGATGGATGGGTGGCTGGATAGATGGGTGGATGGATGGATGGGTGGTTGGATGGAAGGATAAGTAGAGGTGGATGGGTGGGTGGATGGATGCTTGGATGGATGGATGGACGGATGGATGGATGGACAGACAAACACTGTGACAGAAGATGGAGTAAACAAGCTCGCAATGACCTGGGATACGTCAACTCAAGCTCCCAGCTTTATCCCTGGCATATCCCTGCTCTCAGCCGCTCCCGGAGCTGCTGGCCCTGGCTCCGGCAGCTCCTGCCGTTGGGAAGGACCTGCTGGGAGCTGGGCCAGGAGAGCCCCGGGATAGGCCAGGAGAGCCCTGGGATAGGCCAGGAGAGCCCCAGCAGAGCCATAGGCTGGTGTGGCGCTCTCCTGTGCCGCAGCAGCCAGAGCGGGGCTCGCCGGAGCCGGGGCCGGTTCTGCCACGCGGTGACTCCTGTGCCGGTTCCCCTGTCCCCTGCAGGCTGAGAACATCATGTTCCTGGAGCTGGACCTGTCCCCCCCGGCCATCTTCGAGTTCGAGCGGAGCGGGGACACGGCGGAGCAGGACCCGCGGGCGCTGCACCTGGAGCGGCTGATGCGCCTGGACAGCCTCCTGGAGCGGCCGGCGGCCTCCCGCCTGCGCAAGTCTCGCTCCTGGTGAGGGGCTGCGGGGCACGGGGGGCTGCAGGGCACGGCCAGGAGGCTCCCCGGGGACAAAGGGGGGGCCTTGGGGCAGGCGGAGGAGTCGTGGCAGGGCTGCAAATCCTCTGTTCCTTTGGGGGCTGAAACCGGCCCCGAGTCGCTGGGTGGGATCGGAGTTTAAAGTGTGGATCACATCGAGTTGTCATCGTGCACAGCTCAGTGCAGGAGGGACGTGGAGCTGCTGGAGAGAGTCCAGAGGAGGCCCCGCAGATGCTGCCAGGGCTGGAGCCCCTCTGCTCTGGAGCCAGGCTGGGAGAGCTGGGGGTGCTCAGCTGGGGAAGGGAAGGATCCAGGGAGACCTTGGAGCCCCTTCCAGAGCCTAAAGGGGCTCCAGGAGAGCTGGAGAGGGACTGGGGACAAGGGATGGAGGGACAGGACACAGGGAATGGCTTCCCACTGCCAGAGGGCAGGGAGAGATGGGAGATTGGGAGGGGATTGTTGGCTGTGACCGTGGGGAGGCCCTGGCACAGGTTGCCCAGAGAAGCTGTGGCTGCCCCTGGATCCCTGGAAGTGTCCCAGGCCAGGCTGGACAGGGCTTGGAGCAACCTGGGCTAGTGGAAGGTGTCCCTGCCCATGGCAGGGGGTGAGATGAGCTCTGAGGTCCCTTCCCACCCAAACCATTCCATGATTCCATGATACTCATATATCCCCCTCACAAGGTCCTGCCCTGCCCAGCACAGGGTGCTGCCTGCAAACGACGGAGAAAACAGCCGGATTTGAGGGATTTTGGGGCCAGTGGGAGGCAGGGGCAGGGCCAGCAGAGAAGGGCAGTGTGTCCATGTGTGTCCCAGCGGGAGGCAGGGCAGGGCCAGCAGAGCCAAGCAGGGCTCCTCTCTGTCCCCCAGGTGCCAGACGCCGCGGTCGCTGCCCTCCTCCACCACCCACGTGTCCCTCACCTCGGGCGCCGCCTGTGCCGCCGCGATGCCAGCTCAGATGCCAGCTCAGATGCCAGCTCAGGAGTGACGTCCCCAGAGCCCCCGGTCCGGACTGAGCCCCAGGGGGGCCGAGGGAGGGCCCCGCTCGTCCTTGTCTGCAGCTGCTTTGTGTGCGTGTGTTTGTGAGACACGAACGGCCCGGCGGGGGACCCGCCCCTCCTTCCTTCCCTCCCTCCCTCCCTCCCTCCCCCCCTCCCTCCCCGTGCCCCTCCCCGGCCCGGATCTGTCACTTTATTTATTTAACCTATTTATTTATGGAGTGGTTGATGGCGGAGGCAGGAGACGCGCTCGGACTGTTGGACGTGCGGGGCTGGCCCTGGGCACTGTGCTGAGCCCCCCAGGTTTGCCCGGCTCCCAGCCCTGCCCACGCCGCCCTGGCACAGGGCTGGGCACGGCCAGGACACGCTCACCAGCCAGGAGGGGCACGGGACCCTCTGCGGGGGCTTTGGCCACCCTGGACTCTGGTGCTGCCTTTGCTGTGCTGGATCCCGGGGAATTTGCAGATTCCTGCGCGGGTTTGGAGACTCGGTGGCGGCAGCACCTTGTCAGAGTCCCCCCGTGGGACTCCCCAGCCTGATGCTGGTGGCAGCAGGGACATCTCACGGACACGGGCACGGCTGTCACTCCAGGAGCACCAGCTCCATCCACAGGGATCACGGAGTCACCAAAGTCAACCGAAGCCAAGGGCTTTGTCCACCTGTGCCACGCTCTGGAGACGCTCTGGAGACACTCTGGAGACAGCCCCGGCCCGTCGAGGTGCCTGACACCATCTCCCATCCCCGGGCTGGGACTCCTGACAGCAACAACAAGAGGTGGAACATTCCAGCCCCTTCCATCCGCCCATCCCAAAGCCGGGCAGCGTGGGGAGCGGCGCTGCCTGTGGGAAACAGAGGTGTGGGATGAGAGTGGCTCCATCCTGCAGCTGAAGGCAGCAGAGGAACGTGGGCCAAGGCGGTGACGCCCAGAGGAGGGAGGTCATTGCTCCCCTCCGGGCTGGGAAATGCCACAGGGAGGTCACTCCTGAGCTGGGGGAGATTTCCAAGCAGGTGTGGGAGGGATGGGTGTGAAAGGGGTGATGGGGAAGGGGGGTCTGCTGGGGATGTGAATCCCATCCCCTCGGTGTTCCTGCGGGACGTGGCTTCTGGAGGGAGGGAAGGCGGGACCTTGGTGAAGACCCTTCCTGGCAGTGCCAGGCCAGCAGCTGTGCTTTCCCTGGCATGGGGGAGGTGAGGAGATCTGTTTGTGTGACATGGATTCTCATGGATAAGGGAGTGACCCTGGCTCACCTGGGAGGGTGTGGATTGGCAAAGGGAGTCCCCGGGCACAGGGAGTCCCCAGGAGGGCAGGTTGGAGAAGATCGCAGGGAGGGAATGTCTCCTGGAAACAAAGAGAATTCCCTCACAGGATGGTTGAGATTGGAAGGGACCCCTGGAGCTCATCCAGTCCCCTGGAGCACATTACCCAGGACTGTGTCCAGCTTTGGAGTGTCCCCAGGGAAGGAGACTCCAGAAGCTCCCTGGGCAGCCTGTTCTGCTCTCCCGCTGTTGGACTGGTCACTGCTCGCCCCGATGGTCCTGCACACAGGATGGGGTGAGGGAGAGAGGCACAGGCATGGAGCAGGAGCAGCAGGGGCAGGAACAGCAGGAGCAGGAACAGCAGGGGCAGGAGCAGCAGCTGTGCTGAGCTCAGAGCTGGGCAGGTCCCCCCAGCCGTGTCCCGTGGGTGCAGCCGGGCCGGGGGAATCCTCCTGCACTCATCCCTGCTCTGCCACGGGGTGTCTTCTCCCCGCCCCTTCTAACGTTGTCCTGCCTCAAGCTCCCGATCGTTGCCCTCTGGCTCCACCTTCCCCTCTCCACCTGTCCCCCATAACACCTTCTGCCCCTCCAAAACCTTCGTCCCCTTCTCCGCCCTCCCAGCACCTGGCTGGGAATCCAGCTGGGAGCTGCAGGTGCTCCCGGGACTGAGCTCCCTCCCTCCTGAGCTCAGCCTGGGGAGGAGGGTGCAGGGGAAGGTGTTTGAGGAGTGAGAGAGGGTCCCCACCACGGCGTGGGGTGGGTCTGTGTGCACAGGGACCCCCAGCAGCCAGGGGTGTCCGTGGGCATCCCCTGCAGCAAGCTGGCCCCGTGAAACCATCCCCAGCCCTGGAAGTGTCCAAGGCCAGGTTGGAGGGGGCTGGGAGCAACCTGGGCTAGTGGAAGGTGTCCCTGTCCATGGCAGGGGGTGGCACTGGGGGAGCTTTAAGGTCCCTTCCCACCCAAACCAGTCTGGGATTCCATGATCCTGTAGAACACGGTGGATGGGAGAGATGGAGCTCTTTGTTTAGTTTCCAGGAAAGCGTCTGGGATTCGGGGTCGGGAAGCACAACCTCAGAACGGGGAGAAGCTGGGGGGGCCTGTGGGAATGGATTTTTCCTCCCTTCCTTGTTTTCCACTGGTCCCAGTTCACCTTGGGCGGATCAGCAGCTCGTGGAGCCCCGAGGGGTTGAGCCAGTGACCGTCTCTTGCCTCCGTTCTCTGTGGCTCAGGTGTGGGACACAGCGCTGACGGTGCCCTCGCCCCCGGGCCAGGGTGGGGGCTGTGGGTGGTCACGGTGGGATCCACGTGGAAGCCCCTCCAGCAGAGCACGGGACGGGTGCGGGAGCTCCCAGAGCAGGGGACGGGATGAGCCACTTCCAGCATCCCAGTGCCGCTCGTCCCGCGGGGTCCGGGAGCCTCCCGAGCCCTCGCTCCGGCCCCGCCGAGCCCCCCCCGGCCAGCAGAGCCCGCGAAGGGCCGGGCTGGGAGCAGTCCTGGGGCTGAGCGGGTTCCCCGCGCCCCGGGGTGTGTTCGTGGCGTCCGTCGGTGTCCGTGTGTGTCCCGCCGAGTGTGTGCCGGGTGTGTGTGGGGTGTTCCCGGGGTCTGGGACCGTCAGTGTGAGGGGCTGCACGGGGCGAAACCCCCGGGGGGACGGGGCTGGGCTGGGGCTTCCTTCTGTTGTTGTTGAACTGTTCCTTTGGGTTCCAGGTTTGGAGGTTTTTCCGCGCGGGGGTGGGTGCGGGTCCGTTCCGGGTTCATGGACAAGGTGAGGGCCTCGATTAGGACCAAATTTTCGTGCCTGTTGCTCTGGTGATTTATTTAGAAATCAAAAGTTCACTGTCTGGTGGCCCATCCTTGTCACTATACATAGGAATATACAGGACATATTATAAATATATATATATTATACATACTGTATGGAGAGAGGTGTCCGTGCCCCCGCTCCGGCCGGGACGGACCCTCCTCCCTGTGCTGTAACGTAGCTTCGACCCCGCGCTGGGAGCGCCCCGGGAGCGCCCCGCGCCCTCCCAAAAACGGCACCGACACAATAAAGGAATGAGCATCATGGCCAGGGCGTGCGCCGCCTCCTTCCTCCCAGCGCCGGCACCGCCTCGGCACAGCCCCGCACCCTCTGCCCTGCTCGGGGTGGGTTTGGGATCATCCTCGGGGTGAGGAGTTGGGATGAGGGCACGGACACCTGTCTGCCGGGATCCCTCCACCCGCTGCTGTCCCGTGAGATGGAGGGTTTGTCCTAAACCAAACTAATTCCAGCTCGGTGATGAGGGCGCCGGGAACGGCCCCGGCACAGCCTGGTTTGTCACAGGGACACAGCCTGGGGGTGGCACAGGGGGGTGTTGGCACAGGGGGTGTTGGCACAGGGGGGCTCGCCAGGAGCCCTGCCCAGATCACAGTGTGAGGAAGGAGGGAAGAGCCTGGGGGTAAAAATTGAGATTGAACCGGGGCAGTGACAGCCCACGAAGAGAGGAAGGAAGGAGCCGTGGACACCGCAGTGAATCCAGGCTGCTGATGGAGCGGGAGTTTGGGCAGCCTCGCTGTCTCAGGAGTGGGGAAGAGCCTGGTCATATCCCAAGGGCTGCTGCGTTTTTCCCGTGCCATTGGAAATGGGGAAATTCCCACGGCTCGGGGATTAAAGCAGCTCTAACAAAAAAACCACTGCAAAGGCACGGAATTGGTTGGGGAGGGAGGGACCTTAAAGCCCATCCAGTCCCACCCCTGCCATGGGCAGGGACACCTCCCACCAGCCCAGGTTGCTCCAAGCCCCGTCCAACCCACCTTGGACATTCCCAGGGATCCAGGGGCAGCCACAGCTTCTCTGGGCAACCTGTGCCAGGGCCTCCCCACCCTCCCAGGGAAGGATTCCTTCCCAATATCCCATCTATCCCTGCCCTCTGGCAGCTGAACTCCCTCCCAGCTCCTCTGTTGTCCATGGCAGAGGGATTTCAAAGCCGTGTGGAGGTGGCCCTTGGGGACAGGGGTGAGTGGTGGCCTTGGCAGTGCTGGGGAACAGTTGGACTCGGTGCTCTCCGAGGGTTTTCCAGCCCAACCGACTCCGTGTCTCCGTGATTCCGAGCACGCAGAGGTTTGTTTTGCCTCAGTCCTCCTCGGAAAGGTCACTTGTGATCAGGTGAGTAACAACAAACGCCAGTGACAGGGGGCTGAGGCTGAAACAAGAAAATGGAATATTAAAGGTCTCTCACGGACGCTGGATGTTCCCAAATCAGCCAGGTCGGATTTAACTCACACGAAGGGAGTTTGGTGAAGCAACCCCGGAGCTGCCATGAGGTGTTTGGGGATCTTGTAGAGAAGAGGCCGAGTGTCTGAACAGGAGGAACAGGACAAACATAAGGAATATCCTTAAAATGGGGAAAGGGGGACTCAGGGGGACAGTGACAGAGCAGAGCTCAGCTGCCCACTGGGTTGGTGGCCCAGGGGATCCTCTGCCTTTGTGTCCCCCCATCCCTCAGGGCCCAGGGCAGGAGTGCCTGGATGGCCTCTGCTCCTCCAGCCATGAATATTGATGGCCCAGGTTCATAAAATTTGCAAGGCAGCGAATCCCCGGGGGGGTCTGGGCCTGTGGATGTGTTTGCTCCTCCTTGGGCTTCTCACACGTGTCACCACTGCTGTGGTTCTGCTGATGGGGACATTCCCTGGATGCAGCAGCCAGGGGGGGGGCTCATCCCAGATCCAAGGGCTCTGTTTCCCTGCAGGCCCGTGGGATTGCACTGAACCCCATTTCTATGAGAATATTGAGGTTACAGAAATATGGTTTGAAGGGTTATGTCTCATCTACTGACAGTTCTATCGAAACCTAGAAAATTTAGGGTAAATTCACTGTAATAACTTTGGTTTCTTTCTTACTACAATTCATAGGATTTTTTTCTGTCATAAACCTAAAATTTATGCTTGAGGCACTGGCCCAGGTTGCCCAGAGAAGCTGCGGCTGCCCCTGGATCCCTGGAAGTGTTCAAGGCCAGGAGGGATGAGGCTTGGTTTGGGTGGGATCTCAGGACAAGGTTCCTCCCCCAAAGGGTGGTTGGGCACTGCCCAGGCTCCCCAGGGAATGGGCACGGCCCCAAAGCTGCCAGAGCTCAGGGAGGGTTTGGACAATGCTGAGGGACAGGGGGGATTGTTGGGGTGTCTGTGCAGGGCCAGGGGTTGGATGGATGATCCCTGGGGGTCCCTTCCAGCTCAGGATATTCCCTGACTCTATTGGTTCCATTGCTAGAGCAGCAGTAAAGCTTATTATCATCTTTGTGAAGTGTTTGGGGATTTATTTGTTATAAAAAGCTATAGAAGAGCCCAACATTTTTACTCCTGGGTAGAGTTTCAGTATTTCAGCACCAAGGGAAGCACAGCCACCGGGAATTCTCTGTGCAGCTCCTGAGGCAGCAGCTCTGTGGGAAGCCTTTGGTGCACAGAGGGTTTGGGGGCTTATTTTGGGTTTTTTTTTGCTGTTCCCTGACACTCTGATGACACCCTGTGGGCTTCCCCCTCTACTGCTGTAGCTTTTCCTCCCCGGTGCTTCTTCTACTCCTTTCCCCACATTTTTCTCTGCTGATTTTTCCTTCAGGCTGTACTTCAGTCTTTAATGAGGAGGAGTCACGTCACTGATGTGGCTGCCCCTGGATCCCTGGAAGTGTCCAAGGCCAGGTTGGATGGGGCTTGGAGCAACCTGGGCTGGTGGAAGGTGTCCCTGCCCACGGCAGGGGGTGGCACTGGATGGGCTTTGAGGTCCCTTCCCACCCAAACCATTCCATGATTTGACGATTCCATGCAAAGGACAGTCAATGCTCTGCCAAGGTGAGATTCAGACTAAGCCTCGGATGAACACGATGAAAACTCGGGATGAGTTTTATCAGTGATATTTTCCCAAGTGGCAGCAGCAGCAGAGGAGTCATCCCAGAGATCTGATCACCCTCCAGCCTGTCAGCGGTGCCAGACCAGACAGTCTGGTTTGGGGAGGATGAGGCAGTGGAGAGTCAGTCACCCCTGCAGGAATATCAGCCTTGGGAGTGTGGGAAAAAGAGGGGACTGTTCCTCCCAGGTACAGCTCCCAGATGGGAAGATCTTGGAGTACTCCAGGCTCAGCAATGCTTTAAAATGTTGGGTGGAATAAACTGAATGGAGGCCTCCAGGATGGATGTTTCTCAGGAAATCACAGACTCACAGAACCATGGAATGGTTTGGGTGGCAGGGACCTTAAAATCCATCCCATTCCACCCCCTGCCATGGGCAGGGACACCTTCCCCCAGCCCAGGTTGCTCCAAGCCCCGTCCAACCTGGCCTGGGACACTTCCAGGGATCCAGGGGCAGCCACAGCTTCTCTGGGAATTCAACCTCCCCACCCTCCCAGGGAAGAATTCCCTCCTGATATCTAAATTGTTTATTATCTGATTAACATGTTAGGTGTCCACTGGAATGATTTCTGCTTGGAAGAGCCTGTGGCACCCTGCTGGGAGCTGTCAGGAGATGGAGCTCAGCCAGGAGTGATGAGCAGAGCTGGGCAGCCCCCAAGTTCCCGCTGCAGCGGCGATTCCAGCCCATCCCAGACGATTCCAGCCCATCCCAGACCCGAGGGATTGGTCACACTGTTCCTGGGAAGAGCAGCCCATTGATTTCCCCCTCCCCCGTGGAATCCAGCACTGGAGGCTGCCCTTCCTCCCCGAGGGTGGGCAGGAAAACTGCAGCTCCTGCAGACAGGTCCCAGAATCCAGCTGTAGGGAATGACCCCTCTGCTGGAATGTCCCACCCGGGGCTCAGGGCATCACTCCCCAGGGAAAGGGAAACGGAGGCTGCATCCTTTTTTGGGAACAGAGCAGAGTGATCTCAGTGTTATCATGTCTGAGATCTCCTGGGCAGGAGAGAAAGGCCAGACCCTGTCCCAGAGTGATTCACCTGGTGTGACAGGTGAGATCACCAGCCCGGGGCTCCTGGGAATGACTCACCCCTGAGTGTTGGAGCAGCATCCCGCTGTCACCTCGGATCCTGGCAGTCTCTGAAGTCATTCTGCTCCACACCTGGCTCTGGACGTGCCCTCAGCAGAGGGTTGTGATGGTCTGGAGGAACATGTGGGTAATAAATGACAGTGAGACGATGATGCTGAAGTTGTGGAGATCGGGTAAAATCTCCCACGAGGGACTTCCTTCTCAGGAAGAAATTCTTTAAGAAGGAATCCTTCCCTGGGAGGGTGGAGAGGCCCTGGCACGGGTTGCCCAGAGAAGCTGTGGCTGCCCCTGGATCCCTGGAAGTGTCCAAGGCCAGGTTGGACGGGGCTTGGAGCAACCTGGGCTGGTGGAAGGTGTCCCTGCCCATGGCAGGGGGTGGCACTGGATGAGCTTTCAGGTCCCTTCCCACCCAAACCAGTCTGTCATTCTATGATTTTCACAACATTCCCTCAATCCTCTCTAAACTCATCATTTTTGTAGCTCTCAGTGTAATGGCTGCAGCAGAAATTGCAGCTCATTAGGGATATTTTGGAGTGAGTGGCTCAGGCACCAGCTGCTCTCCGGGTCGTGCTCTCTGATCTAATTTTATCTCTCGGAGCTCTATGGGAGGAAGTGAAGCACAGCTCGTTGTGAGGGGATCAGTTCATCCCTGATGGTGGAGGGAAGGGCTGACCTTATTAGAGCTGCACCAGTACTGTCCCAGTATGCAAAAACCAGGAGCAAGGTTGCTACAGTTTGCTTTAAGCTTAAATAATTCATATTTGTTAAAGAGGAGTTAATGCTAAAGCAGGATGGGTAATCACAGAGTGAGAATGACAGATTATTTTGGGTGGGAAGGGACCTTAAAGCTCATCCTGTCCCACCCCCTGCCATGGGCAGGGACACCTTGCACCAGCCCAGGTTGCTCCAAGCCCCGTCCAACCTGGCCTTGGACACTTCCAGGGATCCAGGGGCAGCCACAGCCAAGAATTCCTTCCCAGTATCCCACCTAAACCTGCCCTCTGGCAGGGGCTTGGTGACCTGGGGGAAACTGAGGCAGGGGCTGTGCAGGGGTTGATTGATGTAAGGGGGGGAATCAGCCGGCACAGGGCACGGGGGGACAGTGGAGGTTTTAGGATTTTAGGAGCTCTCTAAACCAGACACAGAGCCTGGTTTGGAAAGGAGGCATTGCTTGTTCCATACAGGGCGTAAGGTGGAGGTTTCCACAAATGAAGCGCCCCAAGGAGTAAAAAAAAAATCACATTTATACAGTAGTATTTTCATCAGCCCACCTATGCAATATATAGCTGCCGCCTACCTGATGCATATTTATTTAGCCGGTGCAATCTTATGCAATACTTGTTTCTGTGCCGGCACGGATTCACTCGGGGGGCTCTGGGGGTCGTTTGGGTTTGTGCCCCCTGTTCAATTTTAGGCAAAGTCCATCACGGGATTCCTTGGCAAGCAAGATGTGACCTGCTGCCCCGGGCCCCAGCTTCTGAACAACACTTAAACCCACATTTACATCCTGTGACAAGAGACACAGCCGGTGACACAGCAGGAGCCAACGCGTGAGGGAAGATCCGAACTGTGCAATAACAGCCCAGGTGGCCCTTTGTGTGCAAGGTCCCTCCTTTGAGGCCACGGCACCTCTTTCACTGACAGGGCAAGACGCTGTTTCACAACTCACCCCCCTCATTCCCCGTGACTCTCTGGGCGAATCATTTACAATTTCTGAGCCTTGAGATGATGGCATTGGTGTCACCGGGGAGGTGGAGGGCACCGGGCGGCGAGGGGCGGCTGTGGCTGTGAGGGGGCAGTTACGGCTCTGAGGGGGCAGTTACGGCTCTGAGGGGGTAGTTGTGGCTCTGAGGGGCAATTATGGCTCTGAGGGGGTAGTTGTGGCTCTGAGGGGGCAGTTATGGCTGTGGCTGTGAGCGGGCGCCGGCAGCTCTGAGGGAGCCGGCGCCATCTTTGCCCCTCAGGCGCCGCGCGCGCGCGCGGCGGGGGCTGAGGGGACCGGCGGCGGCCGCGGAGGAGGGAGGGAGCGGAGGCTGCTGGCGGCACTTGGCGGCAGCGGGCGAGGGCAGGCGGTGGCGGTGGCGGCGGCGACACCCGGACCGCCGCGGTCGGGCAGGACGCAGAGCCGCCACGGCGCGGAGAGCGAGCCGCCCTGGGGGGAGCCCCCTCCGCCATCTTTGCTCCCCCTCAGGCGCCGCCGCCATCTTTGTTCCCCCCTCGGCGAGGCGCCAAAGTGGCGGGGGAGGGGGGGAGGTACCCGCGTGACGAGAGTGGGCGTGGCTTCCCCCGAGGCCCCGCCCCCCGCGCTCTGTGGGCGGGGCCGGCGGGCGGGGTCACATGACCGCGGCCCGTGCGCAGCCCGAGCCAACATGGCGGCGCTGGCGGGCGCAGGGGCCGCGCTCGGCGCTCCCCGCGTTTAAGGGGCCGCCCCGGCCCCCGCCGCGCTCCCGCCGGCGGCAACGACA